TGAGACTGTCCGTCCAGATGGGTATGAGTATCCTTATATCTCCTAGTCTTTGAACCTATGCAACCAAATATAGAGATCTAGCATGTTTCAATCCCCTATATACGTTAGCATATTTTTGGTTTCACTTTGGCCGGTAATTCCACCTTATTTTTGTGTGGGGTAGACACAGAATTTCATGGAACTCACATGATCTATGTTGGTTAAAGTTAAAGTTCTCACAAAAAGAATGAGGCCAGCCTCATGCAATGCACACAATGAAATGAACGATACCAAAAGTGCTTGGTTAGGATAATCAAGAGGTGAACTAGACTTATGTAATGACACTAGGTCATTCTTAGTCATTGCACAGTGAACCCAATGAGAGTCTTAAACAAAATCTTAGGTATAGCTGGTGTTACACTAGCCTATGAATGAAATGAAATGAAGTACGTATGAATGAATGAAGCAGACTCTGTGTTTGCTAAAGAAGTCTCCCTAGTTGAGATCACATATGTTGAGCCCTCATTATGGGAAGTCCTATTGTTAAGTCCATAATTCCAAGGTCTCGTGGCATATGAATGAATGAAATGAAATATGATATGTGCTATATGCAATATGTTATGTGCTATATGCAATATGTTATGTGTTGTATGCAATATGATACATATGATGATGCATGTTACTCTCATGGCATGACTTTCCTAATCCGATTTTGGCAAGTTCACTGACTTGACTTTCCATAACTCATATCATTATGAGAGATCTTTTCTAAATCATGCATGTCCGTGGTGTGTGCTTGCATATACCCATATTTAGTACAAGTGTGTCTTAATTCCATACATTTATCAACTTTTAGGTGCAGGTGCACGTGAACACTAGAGCTTACGAGACTATGTTGAAGTTATCTGGCCGTGGAGCATTCATCTAGACTTGGTAGGCCCTCATGATTTCGAGGATGCTTATATTTTATATTCTAACTTAGATGTAGGCATGAGCTAGTGGAGGATGTTCCACTAGCGTTTATTTCTAAGTTATTTTCAGACATTGTATTGGTGTCATTCTGGCAACCTTATATTTTATATAGATATGACTATTTCAGTAAGTTGAGTATCTTGGTATTAGATGGTTGTTGTGAACGATTATGAACTGATATAGATAAATCTCATATGAGTATAACGTATCCTACTATGAAGTCTACGTATACTTAAAGTAACTAAAAGTTTCAAATTTTCCGCTAAAATTAATCTAGATGATGTAACGATGACGTATGTAGGATTGTCAGTGACCTCTGAGAGGTGAACGACATCGGTCTCGTCTGGGGCCTAGATTACGGCCGTGACAAAGGGTGTGCATTTTTAGGATGTTGATTGAGCATTTAATACTTTTATTTCAATCAATGTTTTGTCATGTTGTCTTTGAATGTTGCTTCCCTAGTTATAAGCTTGTTGCTCATTGTTCATCTATTTATGTTATTATTGTCATTTTAATAATGTGTGAAAGATTTTCTAATTTAGTCCAACCAACATAGTTATTAGGAAAAAAATAATAAATATACCTCCGAACTATCGTAAATGGTATCTAAACACTCTTCGTTATACTTTTAGGACGTTGATGTCCTTACCGCTAAATTTTAGAGCATATATACCCTTTCTATTAACAGAAGGACATGTGTCACAATCTATTTATTTACACGATTATTATTACAATTTTTACCCATATTTAAAAGATCCACCCATATTAATTAAAGACCAAACAAAATAACATAATACTCACCCCCAAATTATAACCCAAAACACTTAATAATATCTACACTTCATCCTCTATTTTTTCCTCTTCATCTACAACCAGTCATTCAAATTTTCGGTGTATCCCCGTTCATCAGTGATCAACCCATTTTCATCATCAATTCAATTATAAACAAATCCACTGATTTTTTGTTAGCAATTTCAAATTTTATGATGGGTTGAGGAGTATCATGACAACATAGGGGGTCTGGAAGAGCCAGAAGAGAAGGAGAGGCGACAATAAAAAATGTGAAGGTTTATATCATCCTTTTGACCATAATACAATTGTAAACTCTGGCTATTTAGAAAATATTAAGATGATGTCCTCAATTGGTCATGTCATTGTATTTTTTGATGTTATGTGAGCTTTCACCATCCCAAACCTGACACTTCAGATGATTATGCTATTCAGTACTCTCTTTAGAAAAAAATAAAAATGATAGGTCAAGTGATTTATGAAACAATCACTTGATGAAATTGGTCCTAATTTACCGTAGTAAGGTAATACCGTAATGGTGTCATTTACAGATGGTTGTTTCCGTTTAATAGGTAATTTTGATGTCGCTTTAATTTTCTATTTGTGTCGACCTTCAAAATATATCAGTTCAAATTTAATTAATTAATTACCATGAGGAGGGATGAGTTCGTTTCATATTTGGAGGAACATTTTCTGTGAACAACGGCTTGAAAATTGAAGAACTTGGCCAGAAATCAGCCGAACTTGACCAAAATTTGGAGGATGAGAAAGGAGAAGACGGAGAAGTGTTTTAGGTTATAATTTGGGGTGGATATTATGTTATTTGGGTCTATTTTTAATTAATATGGGTGGATCTTTTAAAAATATGGGTAAAAATTTAATAAAAATAGGGTAAGTGTTTTAGATTGTGACACGTGTCCCGTCATTAGTAAAAAGGTATATACGCTCCAAAATTTAGACGGTAAGGACATCAACGAAGGGTATTTAGATACCATTTATAATAGTTCGGGGGTATATTTGTTCTTTTTCCCTAGTTACTATGTATCCGTTAGCTTTTCATACAAAAGCTAGTTATATGTGGTATGTTCAAATTTGTCGCTGACCAGCATGCAAAAGGTACGCCGTTATAGTTAGTGTCCATTTAGATTAACCTCTTTTGAGGTGATTTTGACTTTAAAGTAGTTTTTTTATAAGCACCCACTTTTAGGGCAAAAAATTTCTAAAATACGTCAAAGTCAAAACAAGGGTACCATCTGATTATGACTTTTAAGTTTTGACTTATATGTTGCTTATCATAAGTCATCCAAATAGCCCCTTATTTTCATTAATTATTGTGCATCGTGATGAGACATGTAACAAAAAGTCGAAGAAAAACGAATTTGTTAAGTGATTTAATATAATGCTGAAGGAAAATAATTTTGGCTAGTGATGTGATATAAATTCGAAGGAAAAAGATTTTGGGTAGTGACATGATTTAAAGCCGAAGATAATTGGTTTTGGTTAGTGATGTGATATAAAGTTGAATGAAAATGATTCTTACTAGTGATATTGTGTCGAAGGTAAATATTCTTGCACATGATAATATCTAAAGCTGATAGGAAATGATTTCAGCTAGTGACATTATGCGAATGCAAAAAGGTTCTGCCAGGTGTTGATTATTGTGATTTGAGGAACTTGACACTTGAGATTGATCTATTTGATACTTGTGATTAATCTACTTGATACATGTGTAGATTCATTTGATACTTGTGATGCATATTCTTTATACTTGCTCGTTGTTGAGCTGTGACTATTGGATTGTGATTGTTACCCCTTGTGAATTATGTATTGTGAAACTGTAAGGTTGAGCTGATTTCTATTCAGGTCATAGTTTGAGGAGGTTTGGTTGGGATGATGGATTACTCATATTCTAGCTAATTTTTTCTTGTTTATTTTGTTACTAATTTAGTATCGTATTGTTTGGTACTCATTCCTCAGTTCTACACTAGCGTATGTTCTTCTTCTGGTTACATCTGAGTAAACATTGAGAAGTAGTTGGTTGCATTGTCATCCGGCGGAACCTCTTGTTTGTTGTTTTATACTTTGGTCTATTTGAGAAATAAAGACATTGAAACTTGTAATTATCTTTCAGTTTCCATTTTATACATTAGTAGTTTGTACACCTGACAATTAGGCTTGGAGGTTATATTAGTATGAATAAGTTTTTCAGTCTTATGCTATTCTAGTTTTACTTTTCACATTTTTCTATTTCGTTAGGTTTAGGTGGACTTATATTGGAGAAAATACACGAGCGTCATGATGCCTATTTTTTGATAGTGACAATCTCTATTGACTGTTATGATTTTTTGATAGAGTCATTTGATACTTGTGATGTGATAGATTCATTTTTAGATAGTGACAATCTTTATCAACTGTTGAAGGATTTTCATTAAGGGGGTTTAAAAAAAATTGATCATATACATAATATCCACATATAAATGAGTCGAATAAGATATAAACGGGTTGGATTAAACATGTAAATATTTGACTTTATAATTAGGTATTAAACTAATAAATCCTAAATTAGCAAGCAGTAGAGCGAATTCCTGAACCCCCACCGCCACTAAGCTACGCCATTGTTGTGTGTTCAGAGGGTTCAATAGTGTATATATACACATAAATTAAATTTGTAATCACATATATATAGTGTAATTTTTTGACGAAAGAAGTTCGTTCAACGTAAATCCTCCCCTGTGTGCAGTAGTTAAAAGAAAAATCAACTTGTGGCTAAAACTTATCCTTGAAAGCAAACAAATATGACACTTCATTGGAAGCTTAAAAAAATGGAATATCACAATTCTAAAGTAGTTTGAAAGAAGGAATGTTCTTCGATGTACATATAGATATACATGTCTATTTAGAGTGGTTATTGTTCAAAATTAAAATCAAATCAATTACTAATAGTTGTAACATCTCGTAAATTGAAATAACTAGGAAGACGCTAATCATTGAAAATAGTCATTTTTGGAAAGAATGAATATCTGGAAATTTTATTAAGTTAGAATAAGTTGAGTCTTGAACAACAGCAAACGTACATAACTTCTAGATCTTGGAATGATCTTTCCAATGTTGTTGAGTTTGCGTGATTCCTATATCGTATGATTGAGTTATGCCCTTCACTAGTTGGATTATTGGAATAAGAAAAATCCAATCCGGATTTTGAAAGGGTAGTTTGGTCTTTCTCTTTCCCAATTATTTTATTTATTTTTTGGTAATTAAGTTAGTATCAAATCAAAATTAGATAAGTTTACACTTTTACCAAATACGTTTTGGGTTTAGAGAAAAGAGAAAAGAAGAGGAGAAAGGAGAAGAGAAGCAAGATTCATCAAGATCGTTGAGTTAGTTGTGGATTTCGTCAAAGGGTGATCTCTACGAGTTATGTGAGATCACATAGCATTGCTTTAGTTCACCCACGCGTCAATCAATAATTTATTCAGCGAATTTAATTCTTTAAAAGTTTAGAAATTAAGTTCTTCATGAACATTATATTGTTGAAGATTTCGTTTGAATTCTTCTGGTTGTGTTGTTGAAGCTTTCTTGCGATTTGATTCATACGTACGAGTGTAATTTCGGTTTTAATCTATCATATATTTATGCTATAAATGATTCTAAGTGTTTGGAGAAAGAACCATTGAAGTTTAGAGAATTTAGAGCTGAAAAATTGGAGAAGAAAAGTTGTCATGCACTTGGGGAAAGGGGTTGGACGTTGGGCTAGTAGTGCGCCCGAAAATAGATTCTTACTTTCACACTTTAATAGTCTTTTTATATTTTTATTTTTATTTTTTTATTTAATGCACAGACCGCCCTATTTATATTTCTCAAGCTTCATAAGTCGATAGACTTATTTAGGCCGGATAAAAAAAACCTTTTCCTTAAATAGATTCAAAAAAATTATAGCTCAATCCTATCAAATTACAAGTTAAATCAGACAAGCCCCATTGGTTTAACCTATATTAACGCTCTAATAAAAGGATGATTTTGACCAAACACCTAATAAAAGTAATATAAGTAGCAAATCCTACCTGGTTGTCTCACTATTGCCTCTTTTTCTTTTCTTTGGTGTACGTTTAGGGTTTGTTGATCGGTTCACATTTTTCTTTCAAAGATGATCGTTTTGAGATGCTCCGATGGAGAGACCTTTGAGGTAGATAAGGCGGTGGCATTGGAATCACAGACCATTAAGCATATGATAGAGGACGACTGCGCTGACACCAGCATCCCTCTGCCCAACATTACTAGCAAGATCTTAGCCCTGGTCATTGAATACTGCAAGCGCCATTTGGAGGTTGCTAAAGTTGAGGATCAGACTGCTGAAGAGGATCTCAAGACTTTTGATGCTGAATTCGTTAAAGTTGATCAGAGCACCCTTTTCAATCTCATTCTAGTATGGATCTTTTTAAATCTATATGTATATCTTAGTTCGTATGTGTTTTTTATTACACTGTGCTGATGGTTCAATTATTAGTGTGTAGGATTATTGATTCTTTGATTAATTTATCCAAAAATAGTTGGATGAAAATTAGAGGTTTAATTCTAAGTGGAGATAAAAAAACAATAGGTGATTCATACCATCTATTCTAGCTTCACCTGCTATTTGTTGTTGATGGGAGATTTAATTCCACAGAATTAGTCGAGGTGCGTGAAAGTCGACGATGCCATGTGTAATTTCAAAAATGGAGTCTAGGATCTTATCCCCTACCCATTGAAGTTAGAGGTTTTTTTTATGGAAGACTAGTGACTCAAGTAGAACACATCGAAGCACCATTTCAGTAAAAGAGAAAGCTGTATCAAAACCCAAAAGAATAAACGTGTCTAGATTTGGAAGTTCTGTAATTTTTCCATTTACCCTAAGTAACATTCTCTTACAGTCGATGACATGTTCTAACTAGAAAGTACTTTCTATTTGTTAGAATTTCCTTTTTCTTTATTAAATTCCATTCCCAGTCAAGCATCATCTCCATATAAAATTGATGAGAATATATTAGTTTTGTGTGATCAACGTGGTAAATTTTTTTAGGTTTTGTTTATTTTGTTAATCTATAGTAGTTTGTCAATTTACCTTTTACTTTTGGCTACCATTGCCTATCGACATCGCTTATGTTTGCTGTCTCTTCCAAAGACTGAGTTTCCCCTCTGGTTTGAACCTGTTTAAGCTTCAATGGTAATACACATTGAGTTTATTAGGGTGGTCACAAATAAATTAATCAATCAATTATGTCTCAGTCCCAAACTAAATCATCTGTTCCATATTCTTTCTGCTTTGTTTGGCTCAAAGGACATTTGTATGTGTAGTTGTTTTGTTGTAGTAACAATAAACTGCAGTTGGTTGTAGTTGTTTTAAGTAATGAAATGGTGTTTGTCTGCTACTTCTATGGTTCTATTAGTCTGTTATATTTGGCAAAAAAACAATTTCCTTTGTCATGGTCAAGTGGACTTTCTATTGCTTAGTACAAAAGTATAGTACTATAGTCTTAAAACGATGGGTAAGAACTAATAAGATTTGTTGTAACACAAAAATTGGAAATAAAATTAAAACATACTTGTAATTGTAAAATTATAGTGAAACATATTTTTACCTTTAGAACATGTAGACACACTTCAGTTTGTTGCCTATTTTAAGAAATAAATGCTATGTGGACATGTTTGCAGCACATTTTGATTTACATGTTTGATATGCCTCTCTGTTCCACCTCTTGAGTTCTTGCGTGGATATTTTGAATCTGTAGAGTGGCTTACAATTGTTGAATGTTTTTTTTAACTGTTATATTTTGCTTTTTTTAAAGCTTACTTATAGGTTTCCATTTCTTTTTAGTTATTTTTATTAACATTTAATGATTTACAATGGACCCTCCCTCTTATATCTAATTTTCTCAAGTTTGTAGAGATATTCTTTTACCTTTTTTCTATTGAGAGCTTGTATTTGAGGTTTACTGTGTTTACGTGATCTCATCCTATGGGTGTTGTTACTATTCCTTGCATATACTTTTTACTGCTTTGCTATTCGTTGCCATGTTTCTCCACCTATTTTTTCATTTTATTACTACTTGGAGTATTTCACTTGGTATGTTGATTTTGAGAGCTTGTATAGAGGTTAAGTATCCTTTGTGGTTGCGTTGAATCATTTGCCTTGTCTCTTCACAGGCTGCCAACTATTTGAACATCAAGAGCTTGATGGATCTGACATGTCAGACAGTAGCAGAGATGATCAAGGGAAAGACGCCTGAAGAGATACGAAAGACATTCAACATCAAGAATGACTTCACTCCTGAAGAAGAGGAAGAAGTCCGGAGGGAGAATGCCTGGGCATTCGAGTGAATTTGAGTCTGTTAAGCGTCCATATCTGATAATGGATCTGCAATATACTTTACTAAATGCTATAAATAACTTATGTTAGTAAGTGTGTCACTGTTGTTTCTTGCACCTTCTGGCTTTGTGAGTTGAACCTCTTTTGCTCCGTTATGCCATGGTTTCTTATGTTCTATGTAAAAATTGAAAATAAAATCATGTTGGTAGCTGATGTCCATTTTCTTTTATCCATTATAGGAGATTCATATTATTTCTCGTGTTTATCATCATTGGTGCATTTAGCTTCTTTACTCTTTACTTAAATGTAAAGTCAATTCCTTGGCTTGTGCCTTTTGCATTATGTAATGGTTTGGTCGTGTTGTTTCCTGTCACAAAAGGATGTTAGACTAGAGAGTGTATGTTGCCTGTTGTGGCTAGTCTTATATGGGCTTGATATTTGAAGGCACATAATGAATGGCCTACTGCTTATAGGTTCTTACCTTGAAGCCCGCTTTAGACAGACTCCATTGAGAGTTTGAGTGTCACTAAGAGATGAAGAAGCCCACATTGGTGGGTGATACAGTATGATGGCCTTGGGCCAATGAGTTTTGCATTTTGAGAAGAATCAATGTTTATCATATTTAAGAGTTGTATATGTCAAGTTTGACCTTCATATCTTGTTCGTGGTGATTTCTTCACTGGTCTTTCTCTTCATTAAGCGTGGCTGTACAACTACACTTGGTTTTTTTTTTTAAGTTTCCGTGTTCTTACTACGTGATTATTTTCATGACATGTTTGTTTCAGTCGGATCTGGTAACTTTACCTGTTGTGGCAGGATGACTGGCTAGACCTTATATTCTTGTTGTTGTTTACACGACATTATGTCCCTGTTGGTTATAGGTAGCTGGTATGAAAATATACTTACAATTTTGCCAATGTAGTTTGGTGTGTGATGGTCATATTATGAATGTGCTCTAAGGAGATCCTTTTCATCAGTATAGTATGTTGCTAACACATGAACAAAGAAGGAACAAAAAGGGATAAGGAAAAATAAAGCAAATAATGATATAACCTTTTGAACAAGAAATTTGCTTTTGTCAAGTGTGTTGTACAATAGCCATAAGTCAAATTGTTGGACTGGAATTAAAGTATTTTACTAAACCAAATACAACAACAAAAAAGTTAGAACATGTTTTGTTTTTCCTCTCCAGAAAACTTTGTGTTTATGATCGATTCTCTATTATATGACTCATTCACTATTAATCACATAGTGAATGTTTAACCAAAAGAAAAAGAAACAAACATTTCCATCTCACTAGGGTGTGAAATTAAGTAAAAAAATTAGAGAACTCACCCAGATAATTATGGGTTGAATTTATTTAAACATTAAACAATTTAGAATGGTTGACAACTTAACCTAGTTTAATTATTACTTCAGCCCACTTTTTGTCTTCATAAAGTCACAAATATTGCCTAGTAGTTTTCATCATATCCAGTAGGATTAGATCCAGATCGGATCGAGTCTTGGGCCCTAGGTCAAGGTTGGAATCAGATCACAAATTCCAAATCAGGGTTGGATTGTACATCACGTGTTTCAGGTTAAGTCCAGAGTCGGTTCTTAGATCGCTAGTCGGGGTCTGGGAGGATCTCAGGTCAGGATCGGTTTGGATCACGTTTGGATTTCGAGTTTCAGATCGGTATTTGTGTTGGATTATGGATTTCGAATTTTGTGTTAGTGTTGGATCTTGTGTCTCGATTTTTGGGTCCAATCATCTCTCTTTGCCCGAGTCTTTGAGACTCAAGTTCCAAGTCGAGTTTTAAGTCTATAATTTTTTTTGTTTTTATTTTTAGCGAATTTGATCTCTTTTCTTTACACGAATTACGTAAGTATGTCAATAATGTTTATATTAAGCAAGTCAAAATGGATGGATCATGATTCAACTTAATTTTTAATTCAGTTTAATCCACTTAATTTAGTCCAAAATAATTTTAATACATGATGATTCAACTGAATTTTTAATTCAATCAATTTAATTTTAACCTCTTTTGTTTAAGCTTGATCTGTGCATTTAACACAACAAACAAACATGATTGTAATTTATGGTTAATTATCTGACGAATGTTTTACTTAAAGAGAAAGGTTATCAATTTGTTGAGTTTGAATACATGGGTTAGACCGAAGTGTGAAGAAAAGGGAAATGAAAGAAAAAGATATTGTTACTACTGCTTTTATCCCAATTTACGTAATGAATTTACTTTTTGAGAGTCAAGCAGTTTAAATTTGACTGAGAATTTGCTCATGAAATCATAAAAGTTTTAAAAAATAAATTATATATTTGTAAACTGCGTAAAAATTAATTTAAGATACAATAAATAACAATTCAAAATATTTAAAATATATATATGAAAAATTTACGGTAAAAATTGAACTTGTTTGAATGTCGATATCCAAGATGTTTCATATAAATTGGAGCAGAGGAAGTACCATTTATTATTGGACCAGTCTCTGGGCACGCACGTGTAGCCCATACGTCAATAAGTAAAAGAGAAAATTACATATAATAACAAACTATTAATTCATATTAAATGTTATAACCATAGTTTGATTTAATTGTATCTCATAACAAACTGTTGTTATTTCGCCTCTCTCCTGTTGAATCTCGCTCGTCACTCTCGTTCTCTCCCTCTCCTCTCACTTTTATACAAAAAACAAATGTATAAAATGTTTTTGTATTTGTATAACGCGAGAGAAAATTTTATAGAGACGTATATTTTCGTTGCCTTCTCCCAGATCTCGCTCTCTAACTCGCCTCTCTTTCTGTATACAAAAACCCAAATGTATAAAATGTGTTTGTATTTGTTTAAAGCGATAGAAAATTGTATATACACATATATTTTTGTTCCTCTCTATCCCCTCTCTCAGATCTCGCTCGCCACTCTCCCAGATCTCGTCCACTCACTCGCATCTCTGACTTTATACAAACATAAATGTATACATTGTGCTTGTGTTTGTATAAAGCTAGAGAAAATTGTATATACAAATGCATAAGGAGGGATGAGTTCGTTTCATATTTGGAGGAACATTTTCTGTGAACAACGGCTTGAAAATTGAAGAACTTAGCCAGAAATCAGCCAAACTTGACCAAAATTTGGAGTATGAGAAAGGACAAGAGTTATAGGTTATAATTTGGGGTGGGTATTATGTTATTTGGGTCTATTTTTAATTAATATGGGTGTATCTTTTAAAAATATGGGTAAAAATTTAATAAAAATAGGGTAAGTGTTTTAGATTGTGACACGTGTCCCGTCATTAGTAAAAAGGTATATACGCTCCAAAATTTAGACGGTAAGGATATCATTGTCCTAAAAATATAACGAAGGGTACTTAGATACCATTTATAATAGTTCGGGGGTATATTTGTTCTTTTTCCCTAGTTATTAAGTATCCGTTAGCTTTTAATACAAAAGCTAGTTATATGTGGTATGTTCAAATTTGTCGCTGACCAGCATGCAAAAGGTACGTCGTTATAGTTAGTGTCCATTTAGATTAACCTCTTTTGAGGTGATTTTGACTTTAAAGTAGTTTTTAATAAGCACCCACTTTTAGGGCAAAAAAGTTCTAAAATAAGTCAAAGTCAAAACAAGGGTACCATCTGATTATGACTTTTAAGTTTTGACTTATATGTTGCTTATCAGAAGTCATCCAAATAGCCCCTTATTTTCATTAATTATTGTGCATCGTGATGATACATGTAACAAAAAAGTCGAAGAAAAACGAATTCGTTAAGTGATTTAATATAATGCTGAAGGAAAATAATTTTGGCTAGTGATGTGATATAAATTCGAAGGAAAAAGATTTTGGGTAGTGACATGATTTAAAGCCGAAGATAATTGGTTTTGGTTAGTGATGTGATATAAAGTTGAATGAAAATGATTCTGACTAGTGATATTGTGTCGAATGTAAATATTCTTGCACATGATAATATCTAAAGCTGATAGGAAATGATTTCAGCTAGTGACATTATCCGAATGGAAAAAGGTTCTGCCAGGTTATGATTATTGTGATTTGAGGAACTTGACACTTGAGATTGATCTATTTGATACTTGTGATTAATCTACTTGATACATGTGTAGATTCATTTGATACTTGTGATGCATATTCTTTATACTTGCTCGTTATTGAGCTGTGACTATTGGATTGTGATTGTTACCCCTTGTGAATTATGTATTGTGAAACTGTAAGGTTGAGCTGATTTCTATTCAGGTCATAGTTTGAGGAGGTTTGGTTGGGATGATGGAGTACTCGTATTCTAGCTAATTTTTTCTTGTTTATTTTGTTACTAATTTAGTATCGTATTGTTTGGTACTCATTCCTCAGTTCTACACTAGCGTATGTTCTTCTTCTGGTTACATCTGAGTAAACATTGAGAAGTAGTTGGTTGCATTGTCATCCGGCGGAACCTCTTGTTTGTTGTTTTATACTTTGGTCTATTTGAGAAATAAAGACATTGAAACTTGTAATTATCTTTCAGTTTCCATTTTATACATTAGTAGTTTGTACACCTGACAATTAGGCTTGGAGGTTATATTAGTATGAATAAGTTTTTCAGTCTTATGTTATTCTAGTTTTACTTTTCACATTTTTCTATTTCGTTAGGTTTAGGTGGACTTGTATTGAAGAAAATACACGAGTGCCATCATGCCTATTTTTGGATAGTGACAATCTCTATTGACTGTTATGAATTTTGGATAGATTCATTTGATACTTGTGATGTGATAGATTCATTTTTAGATAGTGACAATCTTTATCAATTGTTGAAGGATTTTCATTAAGGGGGTTCAAAAAAATTGATCATATACATAATATCCACATATAAATGAGTCGAATAAGATATAAACGGGTTGGATTAAACATGTAAATATTTGACTTTATAATTAGGTATTAAACTAATAAATCCTAAATTAGAAAGCAGTAGAGCGAATTCCTGAACCCCCACCGCCACTGAGCTACGCCATTGTTGTGTGTTCAGAGGGTTCAATAGTGTATATATACACATAAATTAAATTTTTAATCACATATATATAGTGTAATTTTTTGACGAAAGAAGTTCGTTTAACGTAAATCCTCCCCTGTGTGCAGTAGTTAAAAGAAAAATCAACTTGTGGCTAAAACTTATCCTTGAAAGCAAACAAATATGACACTTCATTGGAAGCTTATAAAATGAAATATCACAATTCTAAAGTAGTTTGAAAGAATGAATGATCTTCGATGTACATATAGATATACATGTTTATTTAGAGTGGTTATTGTTCAAAATTAAAATCAAATCAATTACTAATAGTTGTAACATCTCGTAAATTGAAATAACTAGGAAGACGCTAATCATTGAAAATAGTCATTTTTGGAAAGAATGAAAATCTGGAAATTTTATTAAGTTAGAATAAGTTGAGTCTTGACCAACATCAAACGTACATAACTTCTAGATCTTGGAATGATCTTTCCAATGTTGTTGAGTTTGCGTGATTCCTAGATCGTATGATTGAGTTATGCCCTTCACTAGTTGGATTGTTGGAATAAGAAAAATCCAATCCGGATTTTGAAAGGGTAGTTTGGTCTTTCTCTTTCCCAATTATTTTATTTATTTTTTGGTAATTAAGTTAGCATCTAATCAAAATTAGATCAGTTTACACTTTTACCAAATACGCTTTGGGTTTAGAGAAAAGAGAAAAGAAGAGGAGAAAGGAGAAGAGAAGCAAGATCCATCAAGATCGTTGAGTTAGTTGTGGATTTCGTCAAAGGGTGATCTCTACGAGTTATGTGAGATCACATAGCATTGCTTTAGTTCACCCACGCGTCAATCATTAATTTATTCAGCGAATTTAATTCTTTAAAAGTTTAGAAATTAAGTTCTTCATGAACATTATATTGTTGAAGATTTCGTTTGAATTCTTCTGGTTGTGTTGTTGAAGTTTTCTTGCGATTTGATTTATACGTACGAGTGTAATTTTGGTTTGAATCTATCATATATTTATGCTATAAATGATTTTAAGTGTTTGGAGAAAGAATCATTGAAGTTTAAAGAATTTAGAGCTGAAAAATTGGAGAAGAAAAGTCGTCATGCACCTGGGGAAAGGGGTTGGACGTTGGGTCAGTAGCGCGCCCGAAAATATATTTTAAACTTTCACACTTTAATATTCTTTATATATTTTATTTTTAGTTTTTTTATTTAATACACAGACCGCCCTATTTATATTTCTCAAGCTTCATAAGTCGATAGACTTATTTAGGCCGGATAAAAAAACCTTTTCCTTAAATAGATTCCAAAAAATTATAGCTCAATCCTATCAAATTACAAGTTAAATCAGACAGGCCCAATTGGTTTAACCCATATTAACGCTCTAATAAAAGGATGATTTTGACCAAACACCTAATAAAAGTAATATAAGTAGCAAATCCTACCTGGTTGTCTCACTATTGCCTCTTTTTCTTTTCTTTGGTCTACGTTTAGGGTTTGTTGATGGGTTCACATTTTTCTTTCAAAGATGATCGTTTTGAGAAGCTCCGATGGAGAGACCTTTGAGGTCGATAAGGCGGTGGCGCTGGAATCACAGACCATTAAGCATATGATAGAGGACAACTGCGCTGACACCAGCATCCCTCTTCCCAACATTACTAGCAAGATCTTAGCCCTGGTCATTGAATACTGCAAGCGCCATTTGGAGGTTGCTAAAGTTGAGGATAAGATTGCTGAAGAGGATCTCAAGACTTTTGATGCTGAATTCGTTAAAGTTGATCAGAGCACCCTTTTCAATCTCATTCTAGTATGGATATTTTTAAATCTATATGCATATCTTAGTTCGTATGTGTTTTTTATTACGATGTGCTGATGGTTCAATTATTAGTGTGTAGGATTATTGATTCTTTGATTAATTTATCCAAAAATAGTTGGATGAAAAGTAGAGGTTTAACTCTAAGTGGAGACAAAAAAACATTAGGTGATTCGTACCATCTATTCTAGCTTCACCTGCTATTTGTTGTTGATGGGAGATTTAATTCCACGGAATTAGTCGAGATGCGTGAAAGCCGACCATGCCATGTGTAATTTCAAAAATGGAGTCTAGGATCTTATCCCCTACCCTGTGAAGTTAGAGGTTTTTTTATGGAAGACCAGTGACTCAAGTAGAACACATCGTAGCACCATTTCCGTAAAAGAGAAAGTTGTATCAAAACCAAAAAGAACAAAACGTGTCTAGATTTGGAAGTTCTTTAATTTTTCCATTTACCCTAAGTAACATTCTCTTACAGTCGATGACATGTTCTAACTAGAAAGTACTTTCTATTTGTTAGAATTTCCTTTTTCTTTATTAAATTCCATTCCCAGTCAAGCATCATCTCCATATAAAATTGATGAGAATATATTAGTTTTGTGTGATCAACGTGGTAAATTTTTTTAGGTTTTGTTTATTTTGTTAATCTATAGTAGTTTGTCAATTTACCTTTTACTTTTGGCTACCATTGCCTATCGACATCGCCTATGTTTGCTGTCGCTTCCATAGACTGAGTTTCCCCTCTAGTTTGAACCTGTTTAAGCTTTAATGGTAATACACATTGAGTTTATTAGGGTGGTCACAAATAAATTAATCAATCAATTATGTCTCAGTCCCAAACTAAATCATCTGTTCTATATTCTTTCTGCTTTGTTTGGCTCAAAGGACATTTGTATGTGTAGTTGTTTTGTTGTAGTAACAATAAACTGTAGTTGGTTGTAGTTATTTAAAGTAATGAAATGGTGTTTCTCTGCTACTTCTATGGTTCTATTAGTCTGTTATATTTGGCAAAAAAACAATTTCCTTTGTCATGGTCAAGTGGACTTTCTATTGCTTAGTACAAAAGTATAGTACTATAGTCTTAAAACGATGGGTAAGAACTAATAAGATTTGTTGTAACACAAAAATTGGAAATAAAATTAAAACATACTTGTAATTGTAAAATTATAGTGAAACATATTTTTACCTTTAGAACATGTAGTCATACTTCAGTTTGTTGCCTATTTTAAGAAATAAATGCTATGTGGACATGTTTGCAGCACATTTTGATTTACATGTTTGATATGCCTCTCTGTTCCACCTCTTGAGTTCTTGCGTGGATATTTTGAATCTGTAGAGTGGCTTACAATTGTTGAATGTTTTTTTTAACTGTTATATTTTGCTTTTTTTAAAGCTTACTTATAGGTTTCCATTTCTTTTTAGTTATTTTTATTAACATTTAATGATTTACAATGGACCCTCCCTCTTATATCTAATTTTCTCAAGTTTGTAGAGATATTCTTTTACCTTTTTTCTATTGAGAGCTTGTATTTGAGGTTTACTGTGTTTACGTGATCTCATCCTATGGGTGTTGTTACTATTCCTTGCATATACTTGTTACTGCTTTGCTATTCGTTGCCATGTTTCTCCACCTATTTTTTCATTTTATTACTACTTGGAGTATTTCACTTGGTATGTTGATTTTGAGAGCTTGTATAGAGGTTAAGTATCCTTTGTGGTTGCGTTGAATCATTTGCCTTGTCTTTTCACAGGCTGTCAACTATTTGAACATCAAGAGCTTGATGGATCTGACATGTCAGACAGTAGCAGAGATGATCAAGGGAAAGACGCCTGAAGAGATACGAAAGACATTCAACATCAAGAATGACTTCACTCCTGAAGAAGAGGAAGAAGTCCGGAGGGAGAATGCCTGGGCATTCGAGTGAATTTGAGTATGTTAAGCGTCCATATCTGATAATGGATCTGCAATATACTTTACTAAATGCTATAAATAACTTATGTTAGTAAGTGTGTCACTGTTGTTTCTTGCACCTTCTGGCTTTGTGAGTTGAACCTCTTTTGCTCCGTTATGCCATGGTTTCTTATGTTCTATGTAAAAATTGAAAATAAAATCATGTTGGTAGCTGATGTCCATTTTCTTTGATCCATTATAGTTGATTAATATTATTTCTCGTGTTTATCATCATTGGTGCATTTAGCTTCTTTACTCTTTACTTAAATGTAAAGTCAATTCCTTGGCTTGTGCCTTTTGCATTATGTAATGGTTTGGTCGTGTTGTTTCCTGTCACAAAAGGATGTTAGACTAGAGAGTGTATGTTGCCTGTTGTGGCTAGTCTTATATGGGCTTGATATTTGAAGGCACATAATGAATGGCCTACTGCTTATAGGTTCTTACCTTGAAGCCCGCTTTAGACAGACTCCATTGAGAGTTTGAGTGTCACTAAGAGATGAAGAAGCCCACTTTGGTGGGTGATACAGTATGATGGCCTTGGGCCAATGAGTTTTGCATTTTGAGAAGAATCAATGTTTATCATATTTAAGAGTTGTATATGTCAAGTTTGACCTTCATATCTTGTTCGTGGTGATTTCTTCACTGGTCTTTCTCTTCATTAAGCGTGGCTGTACAACTACACTTGGTTTTTTTTTTTTAAGTTTCCGTGTTCTTACTATGTGATTATTTTCATGACATGTTTGTTTCAGTCGGATCTGGTAACTTTACCTGTTGTGGCAGGATGACTGGCTAGACCTTGTATTCTTGTTGTTGTTTACACGACATTATGTCCCTGTTGGTTGTAGGTTGTTGGTATCAAAAATATACTTACAATTTTGCCAATGTAGTTCGGTGTGTGATGGTCATATTATGAATGTGCTCTAAGGAGATCCTTTTCATCAGTATAGTATATCGCTAACACATGAACAAAGAAGGAACAAAGAGGAATAAGGAAAAATAAAGCAAATAATGATATAACCTTTTGAACAAGAAATTTGCTTTTGTCAAGTGTGTTTTACAATAGCCATAAGTCAAATTGTTGGACTGGAATTAAAGTATTTTACCAAACCAAATACAACAACAAAAAAGTTAGAACATGTTTTGTTTTTCTTCTCCAGAGAACTTTGTGTTTATGATCGTTTCTCTATTATATGATTCATTCACTATTAATCACATAGTGAATGTTTAACCAAAAGAAAAAGAAACAAACATTTCCAGCTCACTAGGGTGTGAAATTGAGTAAAAAAACAGAGAACTCACCCAGATAATTATGGGTTGAGTTTTATTTAAACATTAAACATTTTAGAATGGTTGACAACTTAACCTAGTTTAATTCTTACTTCAGCCCACTTTTTGTCTTCATAAAGTCACAAATATTGCCTAGTAGTTTTCATCATATACAGTAGGATTAGATCCAGATCGGATCGAGTATTGGGTCCTAGGTCAAGGTTGGAATCAGATCACAAATTCCAAATCAGGGTTGGATTGTACATCATGTGTTTCGGGTAAAGGCCAGAGTCGGTTCTTAGATCCCTAGTCGGGGTCTGGGAGGATCTCAGGTCAGGACCGGTTTGGATCACGTTTGGATTTCGAGTTTCAGATCGGTATTTGTGTTGGATTATGGATTTCGAATTTTGTGTTAGGGTTGGATCTTGTGTCTCGATTTTTGGGTCCAATCATCTCTCTTTGCCCGAGTCTTTGAGTCTGAAGTTCCAAGTCGAGTTTTAGGTCTATAATTTTTTGGTTTTTATTTTTAGCGAATTTGATCTCTTTTCTTTTCATGAATTACGTAAGTATGTCAATAATGTTTATATTAAGCAAGTCAAAATGGATGGATCATGATTCAACTTAATTTTCAATTCAGTTTAATCCACTTAATTAAGTCCAAAATAATTTTAATACATGATGATTCAAATGAATTTTTAATTCAATCAATTTAATTTTTAACCTCTTTAGTTTAAGCTTGATCTGTGCATTTAACACAACAAACAAATATGATTGTAATTTATGGTTAATTATCTGACGAATGTTTTACTTAAAGAGAAAGGTTATCAATTTGTTGAGTTTGAATACATGGATTAGACCGAAGTGTGAAGAAAAGGGAAATGAAAGAAAAATATATTGTTACTACTACTTTTACCCCAATTTACGTAATGAATTTACTTTTTGAGAGTCAAACAGTTTAAATTTGATTGAGAATTTGCTCATGAAATCATAAAAAATTTTAAAAAGAAATTATATATTTGTAAACTGCGTAAAAAGTAATCTAAGATACAATAACTAACAATTCAAAATATTTAAAATATATATATGAAAAATTTACGGTAAAAATTGAACTTGTTTGAATGTCGATATCCAAGATGTTTCATATAAATTGGAGTAGAGGAAGTACCATTTATTATTGGACCAGTCTCTGGGCACGCACGTGTAGCCCATACGTCAATAAGTAAAAGAGAAAATTACATATAATAACAAACTATTAATTCATATTAAATGTTATAACCATAGTTTGATTTAATTGTATCTCATATCAAACTGTTGTTATTTCGCCTCTCTCCTGTTGAATCTTGCTTGTCACTCTCGTTCTCTCCCTCTCCTCTCACTTTTATACAAAACACAAATGTATAAAATGTGTTTGTATTTGTATAACGCGAGAGAAAATTTTATAGAGACGTATATTTTCGTTCCCCTCTCCCAGATCTCGCTCTCTAACTCACCTCTCTTTCTGTATACAAAAACCCAAATGTATAAAATGTGTTTGTGTTTGTTTAATGCGATAGAAAATTGTATATACACATATATTTTCGTTCCTCTCTATCCCCTCTCTCAGATCTCGCTCTCCACTCTCTCGCATCTCTAACTTTATACAAACATAAATGTTTGCATAGTGCTTGTGTTTGTATAAAACGAGAGAAAATTGTATATACAAATGCATATATTTTCGTTTGGTACATTTATGATTATACAAATATGATTTTTCTCTGCCCAATTTTATTTTGTCTTTCTCTCTTTCTCACTTTATACAAACACAGATTATATAATTGACCTTTTGTATATGTATAACAAAGGAGATTATACAACTTCTTTATTTTGTATACATATAACGAAATTACACAATTATTTTTTTGTATATATATAGCGAAATATACATACTTATGTTTATTATGGAACACATATATAATTTTTATGTTTGCAATATGTGAAAGTTACTCTAAGTAAAAACTCTTTTAAGTAAAATAAATATTATTTTAAAATGTAATACCAAACATAACCTCAATGAATCCAGCTTACTATTTTCTTTTTTTAAAAAAACAAGGGTGAAACTAAATATTATAATATTAGATTTGATCTTGTGCCTAACTTTAAAACAACGAACCAAACCTTTGAAATATAATTAATAAAAAAACACAAAATGTCATTTTATTCATTTAATACAAGGTAATCAAACTTAATCATTGTAGGATGAAGTCATATTTGATATTTCTGATCTTATGAATTCATCTTCCTCAAAAAAAAAATTCAGTGTCTAAATATGAAGATATCAAATTTGCTATATACTCTATGTTAATCTGAAATCATAGATACACTAATTCAATTTTTTTATATTAATGATCTAAATCTTACTAACAAACAATAGAAGATGGGAAATTAGAGAAAAGAAAGGAACTTTACTAGGTAGATTGGCCAGTGGAAGAACCCAGGAAGACAAATTCGTATTTAGTAATGTTATATATTGATTTAGCGGTAACTCTTCGTATTTGTATACTTATTTAAGAACAATTGTTCAATTTTAATTATTTTACCAATTGCTTATGACTCTTGAAATTCTAGAGATCCTAATTGACTCTTGTTCTTTTATATTACCTTTCTAATAAATAATTTACTTTTCAAAAAATAATTAAAATATCATTATTTAACATTTAATTAATTAAATGTTAGATTTAATTTAGGGTAAAATGGTATTCTAACTTTTCATCTTTCGAACTTTCCATTTTTAATAATATATAATGATATTGAGGGAGAGGCCTGCGAGACATGTTTGAATGGTAAAATACAATTAAATTTGACCTTCATTTGCTATGCAGTCATGAACTCGTCCATTCCAGCTTGCTAAGAAAAGGATTACATGATTTACATTTTTATGTATCTACGAGATATGACGTAGTGAATAAGTTATAACAAAGTGTTTATCGGAAGGCTTCTGGTTAAAAAATAAAGAAATACTTTCACATATAACACACACAAAAATCATATTTGTAAGTTATATTTATAGTTTGGATAATTGCCCTCCATAGCAAACATAAATATTTATATTTCGCGGTACATATCAAAAGAAAGCAGTTGTACATAAAAACTTTCTGTTTCAATATACATATACAAAAGATCAATTGTATAATATATGTTTGTATAAAACGAGAAAGAGAAAGACAAAAGAAAACTGGATAGTAGAGTATTTGTATTGTATAATTATAAGTGCATAGTACGAAACTATATGTATTTGCATGTATACATACATTTTTCTCTCGTTTTATACAAACAGAAACACAATTTATACATTTGTTTTCTGTTTGTATAAACGAAAGAGGCGAGGGTGACGGGTGAGATTTGGGAGAGGGGAACGAAATATATGTATTTTTACAATTTTTTCTCTTTTTATACAGATACAAGCACATTTTATACATTTGCTTTTGTATAAAAAGCGAGAGAAGCGAGGGTGAGAACGAGAGTGACGAGCGAAATTCACCAGGAGGCCAAATAACAACAATTTGCTATGAGTTACAATTAGATCAAACTATAATTATATCGTTTAATTTGAATTAATAATTTTAGCCACCTAAATTTGGCACAAACTTTCATTTAGACACCTTAACCACCTTTTGTTCATTTTAAACACCTTATGTAGATGCCTACTATGTCATTTTGGCACTTTTTTTT